GCGGGCGTTGGGGTGCGTGGCTCTGCCCTAGAGGTTGGTCGTGTGGACCCTTGGCTCACCTTTCTCGACTCTGCGTATTCGTCCGCTAGCCGCGCTGCCTCGATTAAGTTAGCAGGGCGACGATCTCTCACCCAATCCTGTATGTCTGCTGCCAGATCTTGGAAGAAATGTTCCATTAGGAATAGCTGTAGTACTTCCTCTCCGGTGTTGGCATTGCACCCTCGTACCCAATGTGATGCCACCCTTTGTATCTTGTTTGCCCATTCCATGTGGGAGTCTGCAGCCTTCTTTTTAGACTCCCTGAAGCGACGGCGATACGTTTCCGGGGTGACGGCATATCGGGTGAGCAGTGCAGCCTTCACCCGGCGATACTGTGCAATATCTTCCTCAGTAAGTGCCCGAAAAGCCTCATTTGCCTTTCCCGATAGCTTTCCAGCCAAAATAGTGACCCATTGGTCTAGTGGTACCTGGTGTAGGGAGCACTGCCTCTCAAAGTCAGCCAAATACCCGTCAATCTCTTCCTCACTTTCCACAAACGCTTTGAACGCAGTGAAGGGTATTTTCTGTCCTGTAGCAGTGGGTGGGGGCATATGAACTGCAGGTGCAATAGGTTGTCTAGCTCTTGCCAGTTCAAGTTCGTGCCCCCTCCTATTTTGTATCTCCGTTCTCGCTTCCCGGAACAGCTGATCTATTAGTTCCACGGATGTCGCTGGGTACATGGATAATCTCCGCTGAACAAGATTTGTAATTTCCTCCTCCTCGCTGACAAGGTTAGGTTGGTCTGCGACCTCCATGGATCGATCCATCTCGTCCAGCTCCAGTAGGTCAGCTATCAGCTCTCTCCGTGGTCGGTTGCTGGCACTCCTTCCTCTGGTTTCCAATAGATCCTTTAGTGTGGGTCTTTTCAGCTTGGCGTACTGGGATTCCATTCAGCACTTGCTTTGGGGATGAAAAGGACCATCCCACCGCTGCCACCAATGTAACGGCTACCCAGCTGTAGAGGGGTATCTGCCGTTGGAGATGTCCTTTTCTGTGCAAGCTGCTGTGTAGTAATAGAGTCCTTGTTCCCATCCACGATATCCCAGGGTATAATCCGGCAGTACTGAAAAATGAGGCAGAGTAATGGCACCATAAATCCCCTCCAAGAACGAGACGAGGCTACGTTTTGAAGGGTCAAGTAGAACTGAGGTCTGGGAGAACCAGCCTGCTTTTTATTAGGAACAAGTACACACAGGACACTCCCAGGGGGAGGATGAAAATAACCAATTACACACAGGGTAACACCCCCACGTCTCCTCCCCTCAGATAAACACATAACATAATTATAACGTACATAAATTTACCCACATTCTGGATGTACCCCAAAAACAGGGGGTACACCTTTAAGTCCAGCACCGCTTAATAGCTACCACTCAGGGGAATAACATATTCAAATTTCAAGTCATTCGGTTGTGGGGTTCGGGAGTTATGGGTCTTTGAAGTTTTGACCGACCGCACAGGATTTTCAGCCGAAAAGAGTTCCACAAGTTTTGGCCTTGCGGTCGGTCCCCGTTCGTGAATAAAAACCCCACGAACCCCTTGCCCTCCACAGTAATCCTGCCGTTCGCCTGAATCCCCATGCATGCTTAAACAAAACTACCGAACGGCCGGTCGTTCGGTAGTTTCAGCACGAACTTACGAGCTCCTGGAGGTCTCAGCGGTGTTCGCCTGTTTGCGTATCCGTTTTTAGTTCCATGCGTTCACAGGCAAACACCGCCGTTCGTGCGTAAGATGGCCGCGAACACGTGTAAAGTCCCGAAATGGCGGCCACCTATTCTCAGACAAAGGGATTCGTCTGAACCATGCGAACGGCTCCACAATCGCTGGGAGGTAAAATAGTAATTAACTGTTCCCCTGGGTGGTCTGATGTTCGGTATTTTGGGTAGCAATAGTTATACGAACACCAGTCATTCGGTTCTGTTTAAACTCCCCAGCAGCACTGTAGATTAAGTTCAGGCAAAACAGTACCGGGTTCTGTTACAGTAGGTAACAGCACTCTAAGGACTTCAAAAAGTAAATGGTGAAAAAAACTTAGCTTTTATTCAGCAACTGCCACACACAATCGACGTTTCAGTTCTTAATACAGAACTTTCATGAGGATCCTGATGAAAGTTCTGTATTAAGAACTGAAACGTCGATTGTGTGTGGCAGTTGCCACAATCAATGTCAGACACAATTTTTGGATCTGGAAATCCGAGTGGAACAAGGGAGAATAGAATATCAAATGTATACGAAACCTACAGATAGAAACACCTTGCTCCATTATGAAAGTGCTCATCCCAAACATGTCAAAGATTCATTGCCGTTCTCCCAGTTCTTAAGAGTTATAAGAAATAACTCGGATATCACTCGTTGTGAGGAACAAATACAGCAAATGTATAATAAATTTACACAGAGAGGATACACACGAGGGATACTTGATAAAGCACTTACAAAAGCTAGAGATCGAATGGCTGGTGGAGTGACACTATCTCGGAATAATACAGATCGAATTCCTTTTCCGATGACATACAATGCCTCTACCACTCAAATCTGCCATGAAATTAACACGAATTGGCGTCTTATGGAGAATGATGTGAGTCTTCCAGAGAGTTTCCGCAATAAGCCACTGTTTTCATATAAGAATAATAAAAGCTTACGTGATCTTCTTGTTCAGACTGATCCAATCCGTAGCTACCTTCCAGAGATTAAGAGTAATACCAATAATGGATGTGTAAGATGCCTTGGTTGTGTAACTTGTGGACACCTCATCCCTTGCAAAAGTTTCAATCATCCACACACGGGACAAATATTTAGAATACAACATAGAATCAATTGTCGGACTGACTTTGTTATTTACAAGTTGTCCTGTCCTTGTGGGCTTAACTACGTTGGAAAAACGGAGACCGCCCTCTGTGAGAGGATAAGAGGACATAGGTCTAGTATAAGATTAGCCTACAGGGATAATAAGTCTGACAAACCGGTCGCACGACACTTTTTGGAAAAAGGTCATCCCCTCACATCATTGAAATGTTTGGCGATAGACCACGTCCCAGTCTCTAGAAGAGGTGGCAATAGACAAGAAAGACTTTTGCAAAGAGAAACATGGTGGATCAAGAAACTGGGAACTCTAGCTCCAAATGGACTAAATGAAAAACTGTCCTTTGTTGCCTTTTTATAATTAAAAAAAAGGGGGAGTGTGATAGTGGGATGACAACTAGAATACATTGTGGTCCTGCTCAGATGAATGCCAGCCCCTTTTTGAATTTTTCAATTCTTCTACTTTTTAAATCATTGTTTATTATTAGATACATTTTATGTTGAGAACTTGTCATGCTTTAGACTTTTCCAAATTGGGACTTCCAATCCAGGTTGTGCTGAATCATCCACGTATGATATGCCCTTTTCCTGTTTGGGGTTTTTATTGGTACAATAAGGGACTTACCTGTGTCCCTTTGTTAGATGTTCTGTCCAATAGGGATTTAGGACATAGATGACTATATGAATTTATGGATTGGCATGGAGTTAATCTTGGATTCTAGGCACTGTTTCACTTTATTTATTGATATTGTCTATTATTGTTTTTTACGCAACTATATGCACGTGCACTTTAAAGTTTGGATAGATGTATAATCGATTATGAGTTTGATACATTATTAAGGATACATCCCTATGGATGTCCAAATATGAATATTACCACAATCATATACACATATTGCTAATGACATTATTGTCTATTTTTATAACACCTTGCTTAAGGTTTTTTCACAGTATGCTAATTACTAGCTCAGTATGTCATTGGTGGGTTAGTTATAATTTTTATAGAATATGGGATTGTTGTTTGGATCTTTAACATTGGTGTTGTCACTATTGTATTCACATAGAGGTGGATAGTACCATTAACCGTTGGTTTTTATGATAGGATTTAGGGGTTTGTTTTGTATATGTGGCCTTTTCTTCCCCTCTCTCTAGATTCTAGTATATACACAGGTTACAGCTTTAATCCCTTCCTTGGTGGAGGATAGATGTAGAGACCGGAATATCCAAGCTAGATACGCATGCGTCCGGTATCACTATGACTACGGACGACGCAGCCATTCAGGAAGTAACTGAGGAGACCGTTGTTAGACGCAATGGCGTCCCGATCTCCATGGCAACGTAACGAACGTGGTGATGTCACGTATATCACGTGACGGCGTGAGTAGGAAGTGGGGAAATGCCGGGAATTGATAGCGTTTGAGCGGACGCTCGAGAGGAGAGGAGGTTCTCCATCAGCACACCTGGATTGTGAGTTTTAATTGGATTTATGTCCCTATTTAAGCTGTGTTGTTTTTCATTTATGCTTTGTATGCTGTCCTGATGAAAGCTCCCAAGAGGAGCTGAAACGTTGACCTGTGGAGTAAAGTATCTTTTTTTGGCTTATTTACAAATCCTGGGAGTGCTGATTTTTCTTTTGCTTGGTATTTATTGTGCAATCGAGCACCGGGTTCTATTTAAAGTTTGGTAGGAGTGCAAGGCTTTTTTTGGTATTTATATATATATATATATATATATATATATAAAAAAAAATATAAACAAAGGTGCACTCACTGAAAAAGACCCTTTAGGGGTCGAAACGTCGATTTGTTTGATTTCTTTGCACATGTATATTTGCATGTAAAATAAATAGGAGCACATTTGAAGACCTGTGAGTGCACCTTTGTTTATATTTTTATATACCTAACGCTAAGGTTTGCACCCAGGCATTATTCATTTGACACTTTCAATATAGGGTGAGTGCCAAGGTTTATCTCTTTATATATATATATATTTTTTTTTTTTTTAAGAAATAGGAATTGTTATCATCTGTTCCATCATATCTGTTTTGAAATCACATTTTTATTGCATTGAACTGTATAAGTATTTGTTTGTTTTCTCAGAGGCCAATGTTTAATAGACTTTAAAATAATAAGAAACAAAACATACAATAAAGACTTACAATAAAAACATACAATAAAACGTTGTTGTAACGGCACCCTCAGCATAAAAGGGTTAAACCGCCGTTTAGTAGATCTTCCCTTCCAGAGACACAGGCACAGCTACTGCAGAACACCAATCCGCCGAACAGGAAACCATACGAATGCTGTAAACAGCCGAATGGGAAAAACCATACGAATAGGTTTACACTCCTAGCAGTCAAACTGGAACAGCATACAATAAATCCCCCCCAAGAACGTGACAAAGCTCCGTGTTGTGGGTCAAGCAGTGAACAGACAGAGCTGTGGGTTTATTGTGCTTATGTACACATTCTTACACATTAGTACCACCCACAGGGTTTTGGAATACAACCAATAAACACATACAATACACTCAGACACTCCCACACAAATTCCTCCCCTCTGCTTGTGATTCAATTACCTTACACAATGGGTAATGTAATTAAGCACAAGCAGAGAAATACAATTTTTCCACATTATTCATAACTTGAAAAGTATGCATCACATTCACATAAAACTTACATTTTCAGAATCAGCATACTCCAAATACAAACATACGTCAAAATCATACAAATTGGTCCAGTGGTTCAAAAGATAGATCGTAGTCCTTTGTGACCACAGGAAGCATGGCTTTTCTGCCCAAAACCAGTTCCACAGAGTCTTCTATCCTGGAGATAATTAGAAGTAATCCAATTATCTCCAAAGACAGAGGCAAAACTCCATTGAACACATGACAGCAAAAAGACAGTAAAATACAATAAAACACACAAGGTTACATTTATGACATAAAATACAGACATGCAACATATACCCAGATAGCTAAGATCTGAGTGCACATTATTACTGAATGGCGCTCAGAGCACACACAAACAGTTCAATTGCCATGGAGCCAAAGTCTTTCCCATAGTCTTTCATTATACGAATGGGCTCCATGGCATAGCTATCTGGGGTATCACCACTCAAACAGGGCAAGCACCAAATGACCCGGCTTTCTTGTCTTTGCAGGGGAAAAGAAAGTCTTTTAACATGGGGCCATAATCCAAAGGCAACAGGCGAGCAACCAGGCTTCTCCAATGCAATGTGGCGAGATTGGTCTCGTCACAGTTGTTCATTAAGTTTATAATATATTTGTGCCTTATTGTAGGAAGAAATAAAAATCACACTTTATGTCAATCCAGCTTTTATTTCTTACCACTAGAGGGCACAGACACTCTATAAACTGCTCCATCAAACCGTGAATGAACTAGAGGGAGCTGTGATGAACTACCCTTTGCCACTGGCTTCTGCAGGAGACTGATTGCCAGCCTCCTGCCCCAAGACTATGGGCCCTGCAAAAAGACATGCTAAAAAGGAACTTCCATAGGAAAATGTGCCTCTCCCCCTCCCCCCCCCACTTTTTTCCTGTCCTATTGTTTCTCCAGCAGGGCGTTGCCCCAGGGACACTGCCAGACCAGTTTAAACTGGCTGCTTTGTCCCTCCTCAATCTCCCATCAGCCCTTGCTATTGTCTGACCCCACCCTTCCTTGTACTATAGGGAACTTTTAAAATGAGACATATTGAGCGCTCAGATCCAAGCTATATGGGGATATGTTGGACTTTTAGTTTAAACATTGTATTATAAGAGTTAGATATTTTTATGTGGTTTTTGTAACAGTTTTTGACTTAGATATATTTCCTGTTACTGGAGATAATTAAGTTACCACAGCCACTTAAGCCAATTATCTCCAGGATAGAGGAGAAGATAGACCGGCCGCACAGCCTAAATCTGTGGAACTATTCTGGGCATGAAAACCATGCTTGCGGTCGGTCAAATGTGACTTCCACAAAACTTTTGAACCCCTGATCTGGGTGATTTTTGGATATGTTGTTCACCCAGATCAGGGCTATCCAGGGGTGTTTGTGTGGTGTTTTGGGGGTGTTTTCTGTGTTTTGTGAAAAAATGTGTTTTTTCTGCCTGTGGGTAATTGAGTTAGTCCATTGTGTTTGGTAATTGTATCACAGGCAGAGGGGAGGGTTTGTGTACATTATCTGGGAGTGTACAAGAGTGTTTGTAACTTTGTGTCCTGTGCTCCACAAGGACCACATGGGTGGAAACCTTGTGGGAAAACTTGTATTATAGAGACAATAAACGCTCAGTTCATTCTGACCTGATTAACCCTCAATACGCAGCCTTGTCTCGTTATTGTAGGGAACTGCTATATTCACACTGGGGAATGCTATACTTTGTATACTCCCCTGAGCTCTAATCACTTAGCTCTTTTAAGAGCTGTTCTCTATACGCTCTCCTGGAGGAGAGGTCTTTCCCACACGGTCCTGGAGGACAGAGGCTGATCCAGGGTGAAAGGAAGAAGGCGAGACGGAGGTTGTGGTGTCTGGTGGGGGGCTTATGGTCCTCGGCGTCAGCTAGGAAGCGTCCGTCAATAAGAGGTGCCCAGTCGGGGTGCCAGGTGATCCGTTACAGAGAGGTGCTTCCAGAGAGGGTCCAGGTGAACAGGTAGTTATAAAGAGTAAGAGGTAACAGAACATAACGAGCCATATAAAGAAAGAAATTCCTGTTCCATCACTCTCCTTAATGTCACCAGTGAGCTAAAACTAGCATGAGATCCGAGCGGGGGACAACACAGGGCAATCTTTATGAGCCGTTGTCTGCTCTCAGTCTTCTCTTGCATCCTGTTCTGGGGGTTTTCGTGGTTTATCTATGTTACGATTGCCCCCGGTCCAGCAGAGGGGTTGATCGCTTGGATGTCCTGGTTCCCGCTGTAGAGAGTCGAAAGGAGGTCTTTCGGTAGTAAGCTGCAAGTGTAGAATATCCCCAAGCACGGTATAAGCATCAATATCCCGGATCCCTACAACATGAGTCGAGGCTGCAAGTTGAGGGTCAAAAACGAACTTGCTTTACTGGCACACAACATGGCAATTTATGTGATTCCTCAGGTCCAAGGACAGCCCCCTGTGGACCTGATGGAATACAGGTACAGTACAGACAAGTATCCAATCACAATACAGTGTATCATTTGAATTAGTACCCGCCCAGCTTGGAGATAATGAGGCCAACGGTTATACAATCTAATTATCTCCAAGCGCACAAAAGACCACGTTTTATTATGTCCCAGAAAACTGCATAAAAATCCATAACTTTAACATTAATAAAGGAAAACAGCTCATTCTACCATTCATTTAATAGCTCGCGTTCGGATACATTAAACATACGAATGGCGCTCCAATCCCACGAACAGAATGGTCTCTTTCTGCCGTATAAAGTCCGTTCGGCATTTTGGATTGTGAGTCTCTGATGGCGGCCATGTTTTCAGACGGTTTAGCGGGCAGCGGGACCTCGCTTCCAACTTATGGAACTAAACCCGGGTATCAGTTCATGTGAAGTCCCGCTGTCTGTCTGGTAGTGGAACTCGTTCGGTAGGTGAACGAGGACCACCTGGTAGCATGGTACTTGAGTTGCGGTTAACCGCAGAAACCACAGGCTAATGACCGCCACGCGACCCATTGTAGGGGGTCTCCGTTCGGTTGGTTGTTCGGTAAATTCCCTTCGGTACTTTTGGTGCGAACGTCGATCCCCCCAGGCCCATCAATTAGTTTGTGGTTAACCACAGACTGCAGCCGTCTGGGTGGTTAATGGTTGCCACACTCCGCTGGTCGGGTGGTCGACCGTTCGGTACTTTGCGGGGTGACGAGGTTAAGTGGCGGCACACGCCAGCATTTGGGGGGTCCCTCGTTCGTATCACGAATGGAGTCTTTATAAGGGTTTGTGTAGTCGTGTTTTCCTCGGCTTAAACGTATATAGTGGCAACAGTAGCAATCGGTATTAACAGTAACACAGTCATTTCGAGTCTTTTGTAACAATCTATCTCTAGAATAAAAACACATTAAAAAGTCTCTTTAGAAAAATTATTTATTTTTCCAAAGACTAAACAAAACCGTTTAAGTGTTAATAGCAGTGAATTAGTAATTAGTGATGCTTAAACCAATCCCATCCAAGCATGTTTCAGTATATCGTCAGTTGACCTTGTTAATAAAACAGGCCAGACTTACCCCAGGAAGGAGCTGGAGACGTGGCTCATACACATCACTGTTTGCTGATCTTAAAAGGTACACTCTAATCAAATCCAAAACAAATATAGCTTAATTAATCAGTTTTGGTGTATAGATCATGCCCGTGAGGTCTCACTGCTCAATTCTTGATTACGCAGCCCTAGTTACACCTCCCTGCATGAGACTTACACAGCCTTCATAAACACGTCCTGTAAAGAGTCATCTAATGTTTACACTTCCTTTATTGCACATTATGTTTAATTTAGAATTTCTTATTCCCTTCACTGTTAATAGCCTTCGAGACCCTGCGGGAACCTCCTGTGTGTGATCAATTTACAGAGCAAGAGATATAAACTACTGTAGCCAGTGAAGAAGGCACTGGCACTCCCATATTAAAAGGAGTATTTCATAAAGGCATAATCTCCATTAAATACTCATCATGACTGTGTTGGAATTTCACTGAAATTCTAGCCCAGTCAAGAAATATACAGAGACAATGTAGGGACTACTTTGTCTCTGTATTTTTCCTCTGCCTGACACATCTTGACACAAGGCGAAGCCTATGTGTCAATCCCTGCAGCTGCCATCAGTGATGGCTGCAGGGAATTGGCTATCTATGAAGGATCCTGCGCTCTCAAGTAATTCCCCATAGACCTCTAAGTTGTACTCTTGTGCATGCATGAGAGGTCAGCTGAAGCACCAGGAGTTGAGTGCCTCCCCCAGTGGTAATGTCACCGAATTCGGCAAAGTCCCCAGATAGTGACAGTGCAGCTTTAACATATAACTGAAAATGAAGCTGTAGCGGAGCCCTAGTCCTAGCAGGGACTCTCCTCCACTGGTTACACCAAAGTACAGTCAGTAACAAGTAAAACAATCCAATGGAGCAGTCAGGCAGAGTAAAATAATCCAAAAATCTCTCATCTCCTCCCCAGCAACTGGACGACACTCAGCTCTGGGGGTATAACTGAATTTTATTGACACATACACAGCCCAGTTTTATGCCCAGTCCTATGCAAGGGGTTTCACAAGCAGAAAATGCAGGGGATTCAATCCCAAGATCCTCAGTGCCTGAGAGATAATTGCCTGAGTAAACTACTCTAATTTAATTATCTCCCAGGCACAGAAAATCTACAAAATATCCTGTACCCCAAAAAGCACATTCCCGATAGCCCCGATCTGAGTGACCAAAATATGCAAAAATCACTCAGATCGATTCAGCAGAATGGGAATGCCATTGTGATGAAGTTTTGACCGGCCAGACACGAGGCGCATGCCCAAAATCGTTCCAGAGGAATAGGTGTCCTATGCGAAAACCATACAAGGGAATCTCTAGCATTCAGGATACGAATGCTCCCCCTGTTTGGTAATACAAATCTCCTGAACGCCATTCCTGTAGGTGGCCGGGAACAGGTAGCGGTTGAAATTTTACCGGTGTTCGTGTGAGTGCCTAGCCGAAAAGTGTTCCAGGCACTCGACAACCAAGTACCGCTGCCCTCGTTTGGGAGACAAGATGGCCGCCATTCTTTTTGCCACATGTTCGGATATAGGAAATGGCGGCCACCCAGGGGAAGCACTCATTTTTGCCTTGCGGTTTTCATACTTAAGGGGCTGGTGTCAACATTCCAAATGGGGCAAAGGGGTGGTCCTCATTCGGGATGAAGTCTCCCGAACGGCCAAAGAGGAACCACTCGAAATAACAAGGGAAAAGACACAATACTGTAACAGGGGCGGTACGGACAGCCAAATAAGGGAATATACGTAGCTGGTAAGTGTCTATTCAGCTACAGAAGCCATTTTTTCATGCAGGCTGTGTGAGTCACGGCCAGGCCTGTATGTACAAAGTAATTTAATTTCTAAATGGCAGAGAACTGAGCAGTGAGATGCTGGGACATCATCTATACACCAAAACTGCACCATTAAGCTAAAGTTGTTGTGGTGACTATAGTGTCCCTTTAAGGTTACACACTATGTTAATGGCTGGTGTTAGCCGAACCAATCAGATCTCCGTATGAGCAGTCAGTGAAATGCACAGTTCAATGATTACACTAAAAGGAAATCAGATTTTCTTTATGCTGTCGCAGAAAGACTCAGGGTTAGTTTTAAAACGGACAGCTGTATTTTATTGCGGTACTGCTTACATTCCTTCTATTTTGACAGGTAAGCAGATTATCGAACACAATAAACAACACAATTAACTCTTTAGAATGCCACCGGCGTTGGACTTGGAACACTCCGGTTGGAACCTCTGGTGTCTCACAAGATGCTCTTTGCGACCATATCTCTTCCCACAAAGTAAGCACGGATAGGGTCTCTCCCCAGTGTGTGCTCTCTGGTGCCTCAGTAGGTGCTCCTTCTGATTGAAGCAGCTCCCACACTCCGTGCACTTGTACGGCCTCTCTCCAGTGTGGGTCAGCTTGTGCTTGCTTAGCCAGGAGCTCCGAGTAAATTTCTTCTCACATAGATTGCAGGAATAGTGATTCTCCCCAGTGTGCATTCGATGGTGGATCATAAACTGTGAGTATCGGTTAAAACTCCTCCCACATTCCACACAAATATATGGCTGCTCGCCAGTGTGGGTCCTGCGGTGTGTAACTAGTTGGGAATTCTGACAGAAGCTCTTACCACACTCAGAGCATTGATAAGGACGCTCCCCTGTGTGGATCCTACGATGGGTAACAAGCTGGGAGCTTTGGGTAAAACGTTTTCCACACTCTGTACATAAAAAGGGCTTTTCCCCCGTGTGAGTCCTCTGATGGCGCAGATAGTTTGGTCGATTATTGAAGCCTCTCCCACAAATACTGCACACAAACAGACTCAATGTCAGATTATTCCTCCCCAGCTTATCTTTCCTTTCTGGACACACCGAGGAGCTGGTGTCTGAGTACTGCCTGTCTGCCAGCTGTGACTGATTTGGTGCAACCTGCATGATGGAGGGTTTACCAAAGGATCCCTGTGCTAGCTCCGGGTTTCTCTGAACCTCCTGGCGGAACAGTGCTCTGCAGTACTCCTCACCCAGGTACACCGGGGAGCAGGCCTCGTTCCTCTCCTGCTTGATACCCTCAGTAACTGGAACCACTTGCCGGCCTGTCTTTCTTTGCTGGTCGCCTAAAGAGAACACAGACATTATGGCAACAGTGGAAAAAGGAAACCAGAGGCTGCATGTAGTTATTATCTTCCTCTCTACCTATCCTATCAATTGACTATTATAATCTATTCCTAAATATCTTTCAGTATCTTTCTACCTCTATCCGTCTGTATATTCTACCTCTGTTTGTATACAATATATTACCACTATAATATAAAATATAACCCTTTAGATATGATATATAACCACTATAATATAAAATAGACACTTTCTATGTAATATGTATTAAAGGATCACAAACATGTATTCCTCACCCTATAGTGTTAAAACCACCACTAGCCCTCCTTAACTCCCTAAATACAGTAAAATCTTAAGTTTATTCCAGTCTGCAGCTGCTTGCTCTGTCCCTGATCTGCCTGCTTATAAGAAGAAGAGAAGTGATTCTCTGAGCCAATCACAATGCTTACCCATAGGAAAGCATTGCATTCCCTGAAACTATCAAGGAGACAGAGCCAACACAGCCCTGGCCAATCATCTTCTCCTCATAGAGATACATTGTGTCAATGCATCTCTATGAGGAAAGTTCAGTGTCTCCATGCAGAGGGTGGAGACACTGAATGTCAGTCACATTGTGCAGCACTGCCAAAGGAAGTACCTCTAGCAGCCATCTTAGGAGTGGCCATCCCTATGCTATAATGTAAACACTGCATTTTCTCTGAAGGGAATGATTATACTCACCAGAACAAATACAATAAGCTGTAGTTCTGGTGACTATACTGTCTCTTTAAGTGACATCTTCACACATGTAGGATAGCTGGTAAATATTAGCAAGTCTTTAGTTCAGCTGTGTACCCGATTGTGATTTATTGAGAACTTGTTGGTTCTAGGTGTGAGTACTTGGGTTAAGGCGCCTATCTCAACAGCGTACCCTGCATTTAGTGACGATACTACCCTTGCCTTTGCTCTCCCTATCCCTTAACATTCTCAACCCAGAAAACTTCTCTCAGATTACCTGTTTTATCCTAAAATGGCAGTCAAGCAATAAATGGCTCAATCCTCTCAGTGCATTAAACTGAAGAATGCAGGTAACATACCCCTGGTCTGGTTCTGATGGCACTGGCTCCCCCTAGCTTTCTGGTGTCGAGCCAGATGTTCCTTGCGGCTGAATCGCTTTTCGCAGGTCTGGCATGGGAAAGGCCTCTCCCCGGAGTGGACTCTTTTATGCCTCAGGAGGTGTTTCTTCTCGGTGAATGACTTTCCACATTCTGAGCAGGCGAAGGGTCTTTCTCCAGTGTGAACTCGAACATGGATGACGAGTTGGGAGTAGGAACTGAAACGTTTCTCACATTGCTTACAGGGGAAAGGTTTCTCCCCGGTGTGGGTCCGATTGTGGTTGTAAAGCTGGGAGCTGCGGCAGAATGTCTTATTACAAAGCGTGCACGAGAAAGGCCTCTCTCCTGTATGGATCCTCATGTGCATAGCCAGCCTGCACTTGTGAGCAAAGCATTTCCCGCACTCCATACACGTGAAGGGCTTCGCTATGCTGTGCGTTTTCACATGCCGCAGATGGTTGGACTTGTTGCAGCTGACTTGGCCACATTGCATACACATGTACACCCTTCTCTGGGGCTCTATTCTGGCTTTCTGCCTCAGGTTACTCTGTGAACGCCCCCTGAAGCCACAGTCATTTTTTTCTGGCAGTAATACAGAATTTTCCAGATATTTGTAATGTTCAGAAGCAATTTTTTGTTCCTCAGGTTCTTGCTTGATCCCATTTGGAAGCTTGTCCCCAGGTATCATATTATCGCCATCTGTGGATAAAGCACAATATTAGCCGACATGAACACACAAGAATCCTAACAGAAGGAAGTTTCTGTATGAGAACAACTCCAAGGTAAAGTTCTAACCAGGACCATTCTTCAACCAGCTTGGCTTTATTCGCAGAACTTTGAATAATTTAGTGTTCGACTGCAACAAGGCACCTGACGCAAGTTAAATTATTAAATCAGGAACTGTGGAGAATTGACGAAGAACTGCAAATTCAAGGCAGTCTATTAAATTAAGGTTACTTTTAGTAAAGGAAGACTAACATTTGACACTCCTTCTAAGCCAACATATAGAGGATGTTAGTCCGCTTTTACTGAAACACTACCAAGGGTCACCATCAGAGGCGACAGGCCAAGATGTATCTTGGAAAGTGTGTGGCTGGAATGTATATTGAGCAGAGCCCAGTCAGTTGTTTTGTAAGGGGCCTCTTGAGTTCTGTTGATGGCCCCCGACACTGCTTATTACTAAATCAGAGCTCGTTTTTTTAACATCACCTGATCTTGACATACAGGTAAAATGCTTAGGGACAAGTAGAGGAAATTATAGTAAAATGACAAACTGTTGCGATGGATGGTCCGATCTGACCAGATGTGGTTCCTTACCTTGAGAGCCAGTTACAGGAGTGCTGATACTTTCAGAGTTATCAGACGGACTCTCTTCTACCATATCAGACATGACTTCCATCTTTATAACAGTTTTATCTGCACAAGAAAAGGAAAGTGGGGTTACCAAGATTCCCAAAAAAGCAAATTCAATGAAGAGGACAATGAGGTTCTTGGCATCACTGTGTTCTCTTAAAATGTCTTTAAAAAATAAATGAATCATTGGTTTAAGAAATTTATCAGAATGCTATATTGTGAATTTAAATGTAAGCAAGATCAGACTGTTAAACAAAAGACATAAAATCACATCCCCTGATATCCCTGATCTGGGTGACCAACATATCCAGAAATCACCCAGATCAGTTCAGGGGTTCAGGAATTTTATGGAAGTCAAATTTTGACCACTCAGTCCACTTCAGGAATTCGAAGTGAAATATAAAATACCGAACATATAGCTTCGGGAGTAGTCTCTGTTCATGTCTCTCGTTTGGGAGTTTATTCTTACCGAATGCCGTTCGACTCCCATTCGAATAGCCGAACATCCGTTGAAGGTAAGTAGTGAGCGGTGTTCGCGCTGTCGAGAGTCCGATATGAATTCCATGTACTCGACGACCAAACACCGCTCAGTTTGCTCGCAGCTTAAGTGTTCGAATGCCGCTTCGAGAATTCAGGAGTTCGAAGTGCCACTTCGAGAGTTCGAAGTGCTGCTCCACAAACAGTTTATTGCAGGGGCCATAGTCACAGGGCAGGAGGCTGGCAAACAGGCTCCTCCAAAAGCCAGTGGCGAGGTTACTTTCGCCACAGTCGGTCACTCTGGGGATCACATGTACTTATGGCAGTAACGTATTTAAGGGTTGATCCCTTTAGCAGTCACATACTTATGGCAGTGACATGTGTGGCAAATATCCCTATGCCTAGCTAGCCTCCTGCCCAAGGACTATGAGCCATGTAACCGATACTTAAAATACTCTGTTCGTACGTTTTCCCTTATTCAGTTCGGTTACCGAACAAACCCACAAATTGCCTCTGCTTCTCTATATCCCCATACTCAGACCACCTATGGGCTTGTTAACCCCTGTTAACCTCTCCTGACACCTCCATCATCGGTTCACACTTTCTTATCTCAAGTGTTTGGCTGGGAAATGAGTTGGTGGCCATCTTGGTGCACGAACGCAGGCAGCGGTGTTAGGGCGTCGAGTGTATGGAACTAAAATTAGACAAACTAACTCACAAACACCGCTTAACTTTGCTGTTCGGTAGGATTGATCGCACGAACTAGGCGAACAATTGCTACCTAGAAACCAGAGAATCTGTTTGGTATTTGTTTGGTATTTATTTTGTTTTGGGACTCCCGAAAGTGAACGACTGCTACCACTTTTCTTATGGAACTATTTTGGGCAGAAGCCTTGTGTTTGTCTGTCAAAACTTTACCCCGGTGGCATTTCGGCTGTGTCCGTTGGAAGTGAGCACTTTTTGGATATGTTGGGCACTCAGATCCAGGCTATCCGGGGATATAGGACTTGTGTGTGTAATATTGTGTGTGTTTTGAACATTGTACCTCTGTGCCTGGGAGATAATTAGTTTAAGCAAAAGTACACTCAATTATCTCCCAGACACAAAGACTCCGGGGAGGAGTCTGTATTGACTTGCATGGAGACAGTGGCGAATGTAAGCTTGCCACAGGCTCCAAGAGGAGCCTGCTTGCCAGCCTCTTGCCCCAGGACTATGGGCCCTGCAAAATAAAATTTAAAAGACTCAGTTCGTTGGGTTCCCTGTGCTGTTCGGGAACCGAACAGATCCACAAACTAAAAACCACCTGGGCACTTGCTAAACATTATTGATACCTTGTAACGATTCTAACCGCAGTGTTCTAAGTGTTCATCTGGGTGTCCGCCATTCGTTTGCCCGAAGACGTGGTGGTGGCCATCTTGTTCCCCAATGAACGCAGGCAGTGTTCCTGAACTCCAGAACTTTACCCCGGTGGCGATTCGGCTGTGTTCGTGGGATCTGGGCGCCATTCGCATATGTTGGGCGCTCAGATCCAGGCAATCCGGGGATGTATAGACTGTGGGGGTTCCTATGTGGGAAATATGTATTTTTATGTGTTTGTAATATTTTGTACTGTGCTGAGTCACAGTGACACTATATTTTATGGCACGTGGTGGGTGTGGTTATGGACTAACATCCTCTATATGTTGGCTTAGAAGGAGTGTCACTGTGCTCAGATTCTGTATATAAGTGAGCCATTTTGCTTGAATAAACAGACTACCTCCAGCATTTAGTCTCGACTAATGTCTGTGGGGGGGAAGCTATACTTGCTATAATCACATGCTATAAAGCTATACTCTCTTTGAGGAGAGGTCTTCCCACTGGAAGCTGGATCCAAGCGTTGGTCCAGGGTGGAAAGGGACGGCGAGACCCTAGCCAAGCTGCGGTGGCTAAGGGGACTACAGTGCTTATGGTGTCCAGTGTGGTGCTTCTGGTACTCTGCGACAACTAGGAAGCCAGGTACCCAGTCGGGGTGCCAGGCGGTCCACCACAGAGACCCCCTACTGGGGGTCTGTGTATAAATTGCCTGTACCATGTCCCATTAATCCAGTACACTCCCAGCATTAAGTCTTGGCTAATGTCTGAGGGGGAAGGCTATGATCACTCAGCTAGCTATAATCACTCCACAGCTATACTCTCTGTAGAAGAGCTTCCATCACTAGAAACTGGATCCAGGACCCTGTTCCAGGGTAGGAAGTGACGGCAAGACCACAGCCAAGGCTAGCGGCTGAAGAGCTGATGGAGTCCCGGCAAAAGCTAGGGAGCATGCTTGGCGGAGGTACCCAGTCGGGTTGCCAGGCGGTTTGCCACAACGTGTTTAAGGGTCGGTCCTTCTAGCGGTCACATTGTACTTATGGCAGTGACGTGTTTAAGGGTTGGTCACTCCCAGGGTCACAGAGTACTAATGACAGTGATGTGTTTAAGGATTGGTTCTTCTGGGGGTCACAGTGTACTAATGACAGTGACGTGTTTAAGGGTTGGTCCCTCTCGGGGTACAGCGTACTAATGGCAGTGACATGTTTAAGGGTCAATTCCTCTCGGGGTACAGCATATTAATGGTAGAGACGTGTTCAAGAGTCGGCCCCTCCCAGGGTCAGAGCATACTGATGAGAGTGACAAGATTAAAGACAGTTGTAGAGACACCACGACGGGACACCCAGAAGCATATCATTCTGGTCTAATCCTCGGTACATTCAAACCGCTTCAAATCGAGAGATTTAGCTATTGAGCATGAGGTGTCTGCTCGCTGCACATTAACAAAAAATGACAGAGGCACTCAGGAACTAAGCATTGTGAGCTGCCTAATTGACAACCTTGGTGGACTTTCTTCACTGGCGGTAAGTTTTACAAATAGCTGCTGCTAAAAGTCACTCGCACCGCATTTCTACTAGTCAATGGAATTCCCAATATGTAAAATTAATTTGCAGAGAGTTTGAGAGACTTACCCGGGTCAGGTTCCTTATTGGCACTCCTAGTATTTGTTCTCCATTTTGTAGTATTCCCAGTAGCCTGAATTTTGAGTGACACTTTTTTCTTGTACCCGGCGCACTCAGTGTTCTTAGCCTTGCTATGTCGCATCAGGTGCTCTTTTCGAGCGAAACCTGTTCCGCACTTTGAACACATGAAGGGTTTCTCCCCTGTGTGGAGTTTACTGTGTCTTTTCAAATGCTCCTTGCGGCTGAAACATTTCCCACAGTCCATACACAGGAATGGTCGGTTACCTGAGTGGATCTTCCGGTGGGCCACCAATTTACACATCCATTTGAAGCATTTTCCACACTCTGTGCACATGTATGGCATATCTTTCCAGTGGGTTCTCATGTGTTCTGCCAGCTGGTCGTCCTGGCTGAAGGTTCTCCCATATTCCGAGGAGGCATGTTGTTTCTCCCCGCTGTGTGTTCTCTTATGCCTCACAAGTTGAGAGTTTTGATTAAAGTCTTTTCCACATTCTATACAGACAAAAGGTTTTTCTTGTGTGTGGGTCCTCATGTGACGTAAATAGTTGGATTTATCTCTGCATGTTCTCCCACAATCTGAGCATTCATAATGGACTTTCCTTTTGTGATTTGCCTTTCTGGGAAAATGTCTCATCACATTGACTTTTGGCGTCTCTGCAATAATTGTAGGTTTTATCTTATTTTTCAAACTTGTCATTTCTGTTGCATGAATTTCAGGATTTACAGAATCAGGGTCCGATTTAAACAGTTTCTGCTCAAAGGACAGGAGAGATGGGACTTCTTCAATCTGTACATCCTCAACTTTAATGCCCTTGTAGTCACATGGTAGAGGTTGTTGGGGACAACTTGGTGGACTTGAGGCTTCATTGTATTCCTTTTCAAAGTCCATAATGGCTAAAAACAAAGAAACCAATTATATTTGTTCCAAATGTATAATCAGAAGATTCTTGACATAATCTAGATTGTTAGCTAATTTGAGCAAGGCTCTCAATAACCTCTTGTTTCTTGTTAACATTAGTTATGATGTATTTCTTATCTGCCTCACTTCAAAACTGTAAATTGTTGCAGAATATTTTGGAACGCTATAAAAGCTAAGGAAAATTCTGAGCACCATAACCACCACAGTGCGCTGCACTGGCTATGGTACCAGGATAGCCCTGGAATCCTCCACTGTAGGTAGGCAAACAGCTTTAGAACACTTTTAACCTGGAGTCCGCTAATCACAAGTACCTAAAGCTTTTTAATGATTCCCCTCTCTGCTCAGTATGGTGGCCAAGCAGGGAAGGCATAAGGAAGTGCAGGTGAGCGTCAATGGAGTATTGTAGCTGTTAAAACATTCGAAAATGGTTTAACATAGTAAGGTAAAATAGCTCTCAGGGACACCAGCCTGACAAACACTGTCACTGAGAGGATAACAATAAGCAGCATTACTGCTCCTGGATATAATATAACATTTGGAATGTGAGGAAGGTTCACAACAGTGTTAATTTTGGCGTCAAATATAAATTTAGTTCTAGTTATAGTCTTTTGACTAAAAAGCCATTTTAGTTTAAGTCGTATTTTAGTAATCTGAATTATTTTAGACTGTGGCAAATCTAGCCACTTTAGATTGTGCGGTTATTTGTCTAAAGGTTGTCCTAGAAAGCTGGTGCTATTCTGTTAGGTTCTGTATTTACTTGTAACTGTAATAGAGAGCATTCGTATGCTAGTAGCCGAAAGCCGCTAGCATTCAAATGGTAGTTTCACGAACAGTGACTTTCCACACTGTTCGTGAAACGAATAACGTACCGAATGGGAGTCCACACACAGGGAGTCGTGTGGCTCCCATTAACCGATTGTAACATTGTAGCAATCGGCTGCTAATTGATTTCCCGGGTGGCCGTCGTTCGGCTACCGACCACGAGGCGGCGGCCATCTTGGATTTCCCTTTTGCCCAGCGGTGTTTGGTCGTCGAGTGCCTGGAAATAAAATCGGCTACTCGACGGCACGAACACCGCTGGACTTCCAAGCCGTTCGGGAGTGTCGGTCTTTCGGTACTTTTTCCCCAATGGTGTATTCGGGACTTTTATGATGAATGTATATTAAAGTGTGTTTTCGTGCGGCGTTTGGTTATTTATGCTGGGATCTGAGCGGTACTTTCACAAAGTGTGCGCTCAGACCCCAGCTACCTGCCGAATGGTCATTCGGTACAATAGCACGAATAAAAAGTTACTGATTTTTGTGTGAAAAGCCGGTTCTGCTGTATGGCGGGATAATCCATTTAACAGGATATTCTCGTGGGAGTATCCCTCTCGTACAGCAGTGTATGGTGGGAGAAATGTCCGCTACATAGACAATTGATCTCATTCTCTCAGCCCCATGTTTCTAAATCTACCAGTCCCCCATGTATCTCATTCTCTCAGCCCCCCCATGTGTCTCATTTAGCCGGCCCCCCATGTGTATCAATCCCTCAGCCCCGCAATGTGTCTCATCCTCCGAGTCCCCCATGTGTCTCAATTCCCCAGCCCCCCATGTGTCTTATTCCCTCAGCCCCAGCCCCCCCATGTATCTCATTTCCTCTCTTCCCTCTTCCCATGGGGATGTGTCTTACCCGCCAGTGTTAATTTTGGCAGCAAATTTCAATTTAGTTTTATCCAGTTTAGTCTTTTGACTAAAAAGCTATTTTAGTCATCTGAATTTTTTGTCGACTAAATGTGATAATTGTTAGTTGACGAAATTACACTGGTTCACAAGGCATCATGATATAAATATTTATCTGAGGAAGCCCGTGGTAAAATCAATGTGAAATGTACACATGACCCACATAATGTCTGCCACTTGGAGCAGTTTTTGTGGCCATTTGTGCAAATCTTCTCACCTGTCGTATTTGGAGCACAGTAATGATGCTGCAGGAGACAGACATGGACATCAACAGCAGCTCCTAAAACAGAAGGCATTATTTGTCACTGCATTCTCACAAATATTCCTCATTAACTTGGTTTCACAATATAGAGAGTTAACGGTTTACCCCAACCAAAGAAAACACTGATTGTCAACCACTCCTATACTGACCCAACCGATAAAAATGAAGACAGAATCTAAAGGTAATCTCCGATTTAGCACGGGGTCCAGGTTACAGCCTTAAGAATGACCTGATATAACTTTCTATGTTTATTCTTTGGGTCTACCATTAAGAGGTCCTAGCCCTCATTTATAAGAACACAAAACAAAGAATTTAAAACTTCTAAATTACACATCTAAAGTATTAAAAATCACCAATCAGCAATAAAAAAATTATTATGTATCCAGTTCCAAACTATAACAGTGCCCGGAAAAAGCAATCTGTAGCGTTGCTCCCTGTGACAGATCACCCTGTCCCTGGAATCATTAAACGACTATTTTTACATTGCATAGCCCGGTATACGAACATCACCGAAAAGATTATCCCATTTGGTTTGTATACCGAACAAAGTACAGAACGGACAGACCACCCAAAACAGTCATGTGCCGCTCACTGACCTTCTTAACCCCCACGATCACCTTCGTAACCGCAATTACCACAACATTCGAAGCGGTTGGCTGGGTGGCGCCGTTCGTATGAACAAACACATGGTGGCGGCCATCTGTAGCCACGAATGCATACAGCTGTGTTTTGTCATGAGTGTATGGAACTAAAATCAGGCACTCAACGGCGCGAACACCACTGGGACTTCCATCCCCACGCACGTTCGGTTCTATTCATCTGGGAAGAGTGGCGTTTGGTGGGAACACACTCCCAAACGTGGGGCACACGACCAACACACGCACAAACTGTTATATTCATGGTTTTATGGTGTTTTGTACTCCCGAAAGGGTACGTTTTCGGGTACGTTTGTGGGATGAGCTCTTTTCGCATGGGGAGTTGCATATATGGCTCCCATTAGATCAGTTCTACACCCTCAACACAGAGCATCGTCTCGTGATTGTAGGGAACAGCTATACCTGCTTTTTTACCAGTTGGATTACTGCTTGAGAATACTACAGCATTACTCATACTAGGGGGAAAGGACATCTCTGGCGGCAGAAACCCCTCTTCTCTCAGGGTTGCCGCCACATTTGGTGGCAGCGATGGGATTGTCCTTTTTCCCCAGAGGAAATACTATGCTAATGGAGAATCCATATGAAAAGCTGAAAAGACTGACTTTGAAGGATTTATTGGAGAGCCGTGGTCGCACAGTCAGCAACCGACCCCGACGGGAATTAATTGCCGAACTGATATGGCTGAACCAATTGTCCTGAACACGGGAGACGACTAAATACTGCAAGCTGTTCGGTTGAGATTTGCATTGTATGGGCCAAATCCTCCCGCAGACATTATCACCCAAATTTTTTATGCTGTCTGTAACGGCACCCTCAGCACACGTAAGGGTTAAAACCGTTTAGGCGATCGTCCCCTTTCAGAGATGCAGGCACAGCTACTGTAGAACACCAAACTCCCGAACCGCATGTAAGGGAATGCTCCAAACTCCAGAACGGCATACAATATAGCACTCCAAACTCACGAACTGGAACCATACGAATAGCTGCTAGCAGACGAATAGGAAAAGCACCCAAGCGGCTTATACTCCTAGCAATCAGTCTCTATCAGCATTCAGTAAATCCCCCCAAAGACGAGACAAGGCTCCGTGTTGTGGGTCAAGCAGTGGTCAGTCAGCTGTGGGTTTATTGTTCTTATATACACATTAGTACCACCCATAGGGTTTTGGAAAACAACCAATAAACACGTAAAATACACTCAGACACTCCCACACAAAATCCTCCCCTCTGCCTGTGATACAGTTACCTTACACAATGGGTAATGTAATTATAACAAGCAGAGAAATAAAATGTTTCCACATTATTCATAACTTGAAACGTATGCATCATATTCACATATAACTTACATTTTCAGAATCAGCATACTCCAAATACAAACATACGTCAAAATCATCCAAATTGGTCCAGTGGTTCAAAAGATAGATCGTAGTCCTTTGTGACCAAAGGTAGCATGGCTTTTCTGCCCAAAACCAGTTCCACAGAGTCTTCTATCCTGGAGATAATTGGGAAGTAATCCAATTATCTCCAAGGACAGAGGCAAAACTCCATTGAACACATGGCAGCAAAAGACAATAAAACACATAAAAACATAACTGTGCAGCCATTGCACAAAACAGGTACATTCATATCCCCAGATAGCTCAGATCTGAGCGCACATTATTACTAAACGGCGCTCAGAGCACACACATACAGTTCAATTGCCATGGAGCCAAAGTCTTTCCCATAGTCTTTCATTATACGAATGGGCTCCGTGGCATAGCTATCTGGGGTATCACCGCTCAAACAGGGCAAGTACCAAATGACCCGGCTTTCATGTCTTTGCAGGGGAAAATCAAGACTTTTAACATGGGGCCATAATCCAAAGGCAACAGGCGAGCAACCAGGCTTCTCCAATGCAATGTGGCGAGATTGGTCTCGTCACACTGTCGAAGCTGAAACCCGGGAGAAACGGCATTACCAGCTACGCTTGGCAGAAATACAGCACTTTCAAGAGGCAGAGGGAGAAATAGATGGCTCCATTGCAGATTTTGAAGGGCAGTGTGTGCTGCACAAGGTACCCACAGACAAATGGGTCACCATTCTATCTGGCAAGTTGTCCGGGATAGCCGCCGAAGCCTTTCAGGCTATACCCAACGATGAGATACACCACTACCACGTGGTTAAATAAGTTTTGCTCGCCTGGTATGCAGTTACCCCCGAGGCGTACCGCAGACGATTCCAGGAATCCAATAAGCAAAGTGGGGACTCTTACACCAAGTGGGCATGTCACCTCCACTGAACAGCGTTTCGGCTATGTTCGTGGGATCTGAGTGCTTTTCGGATATGTTGGGCGCTCAGATCCAAGCTATACGGGGATATAGAACTTGAGGGGGTACTCAATTGTTAAGTGTGTATTTTGGGGTGTTTTTGTTATGTATGTCCTGGACCTGAGAGTTAATATAATTAAGTTGTATACTTTTAATGTAGTCTCCTCTCATGTCCAGTGGGGAATGCCCCAGGAATATATAATAAAAAATCCCTTGCTTGGGGAGTTGCATATAAGGCTGCATGTGGCTCCCACTAAATCAGTTCTACTTCACCCTCAACACAGAGCCTCGTCTCCGCTTGGATTACTGCTTGTGTATACTACAGTATTACTCATACTAGGGGGAAAGGACATCTCTGGCGGCGAAAACTCCTCTTTTCTCGGGGTGGGCACCACACTCGCCACCTCCCCTCACACTGTGCTCCCCCACCTCTCCTCACATTGTGCTCCCTACCGACCCTCACACTGTGATGCCCCACCTCCCCACATACTGAGCTCCCCCACTGTGACGGCCACAGTGTGAGAGCAGAAGTTTCCACCGTCAGAGATGTCCTTTCCTCCTATTATGAAGAGTGCTGAAGTATTCCCAAGCATAAATCCAATCGGTACAGAAGCAGGTATAGCTGTTATAGCAGGTACATACAAACACGAGACAAGGCTCTGTGTTGAGGGTAAAGCTGAAGTGATTTTAATGGGACCACACACAGCCTTTTATGTGAATCCCCATGCAAGAGTAACACATCCTAGGGGCATTTCCCACTGGACCTGAGAGGGGACAGACACAAAATGTACAAACTCTCAGGTCCAGGACATGCATAACAAAAATACCCCCAAAATCTACAGTTAACAGCAAGGTTAACAGCAAGTCTTATAACCCCAGATAGCATTGATCTGAGCGGCCATCATATCCAAAAATGTCTCAGATCCCACGAATGTAGCCGGGGTATAGTTTAGTCCGACCGCACATGAGGAGCCGGCCCAAAATAGTTCCATGAAATTAGGCTGTGCGGTCGGTCTCTTTCGGGAGTACAAAATCCAACCAAATAAACTGTTTGTGCGTACGATCACCCAGTGTCTCTTGTTCAGGGGTTTGTTCCTACCGAACGCCACTTTCCTCAGATGAATAGTCGAACGTAGGGGTCAGTGGAAGTCTCAGCGGTGTTCGTGCCGTCGAGTGTCCGATAACAGTTCCATGCACTTGACGACCAAACACCGCTGGATGCGTTTGATAAAGCAAGATGGCCGCTGCATCATGATCGTCCATTCGAAAAGCGGCTATCCAGCCGACCACTTAGGACGTTCAAGTGTTTGCGGTCTAGGAAGGTGTGATGGAGGTCAAGTGGGTTAACTAGAGGCACATGACAGTTCTGGGTGGTCTAGGTGTTCAGTACTTAGTTCAGTATGCAAATCAGATGAGGCAATCCGTTCGGTTAGGTTTGTATACCAATCAGTCGACGTAAACGTAGTATTAAGGAACAGAGGTATCTGTTACAGTGCTCCCTCCATGTGGAACACTCCGGCAGAACCGGCTTGACCCTTTTCGGGTCAACTTGTGGATGTCTGGACTCTTCTCTAGTTGCTGAGCTCGGTTTGTCGGTATACAAACCAGATGAGGCAATCCGTTCAGTAAGGTTTGTATACCAATCAGTCAACGAAAACGTAGTATTCCCCTCACACCATGCTCCCCACCCACACTCTGCTCCCCGACTCACATTGTGCTCCCCCACCTCACCCCACTCACACTTTGCTCCCCCACCTCCCCTCACTCACACTGTGCTCCCCTACTCACGCTGTGTTCCCCCACCTTCCCCCACCCACACTGTGCTCCCCCACCGTCCGCCACTCACACTGTGCTCCCCCATTTCTCCACACTCACACTGTGCTCCCCCATCTATCCTCACTCACACTGTGCTCCCCCACCTCCCCTCACTCACACTGTGCTCCCCATCTCCCCCCACTCACACACTGTGCTCCCCCACCTTCTCCCACTCACACTGTGCACCCCACATCCCCACTTTCACACTGTACTCCTCCCCCCTACTCACACTGTACTTCCCACACATCCCCCATCTCACACTGTGCTCCTCCCCCACTCACATTGTGCTCCCCCACCACCCCTCACTCACAATGTGCTCCCC